AAAAAAAAAAAAAAAAAAAAAAAGAAAAATCTTGCTCCACTAGTTACGTTTGGTGAATTTGAAGGATCTTATTGCGGTGAGAACAAATGAGTTTAAACGTTTGTTCGAGCGACAATGACCGATAACAAAAGTAATGTGAGTCTTCGAATGTCAAAAAGGTTTAACAATGCGAAACTTGAAGGCTATGTATCAGAGAGAACCCAATTGTTTTTATCATCTGTATGATAAAAAAAAAAAAAAAAAAAACATGGAAAATGCAAATATATACGTGTAAGGTCAACTGGGTTTTGAGAACATTATAATAGGTGTGATAGACAGCAGTATAAAGTAAAAGTTATTGATATTCCATGATTCAACTCAGAAGTATATTTATGTTTTACCTAAAACTACTCGTGTATATAAATGTATAGACCAAGTGGGAAATAACGATGATTCCAGCACTTTTTAAAAAATAAACAAAAGTACGATATTAATAGATACACGTGACTATAATCGACAATCTGAATTATCTACACATGAGAAGCGAAATGGTTTTTTAAGTTTTTATTAGACAAGGAGATTAAACAAAAAGAAAAAAAAAGTATCGACAAATTAAAAATAATACATACATACAGATAAATTTAATATACGCATATATAATTGGAAGTTACATTATATTTCTTACTCATAACTAAATGAAATGGACTTTGTTCTCACGGGTGGCTCGTAACGTTTAAAAAAAAAAAAATCATAAATAAACTTTAAAAACTAAATTTTAGAAAATCGTAAAACTATATATTACGTACATTCTCCGCGAAACTATGTACCTATTCGCCATAGTGACAACAAGTATAGTCTGAATTAAAATGACAGGACAAAAAAAAAATCAGCAGCGATCCGATGTATAAGTGTACCTACATTTTGAGATGGTAAGCAGGAGCGTTCCACCGGAAGTACACAGCGATCGCGACTTCTTCTTCGACTGTAAATGTATTATGTCATATTATGGTAATGCGTAATATCAACAGTTTAAGAACACTGTAAGCGTGTACTTGTGTGCGCATGTGCGTGCGTGTATTACAACGCAGTACAGAGAGACCGTAATTATAGTGGCGCGAGGCTCCCACAGAAGTGCAAAGAAGGATTTCATTGACGCGAGGTGACGTCACATTAGCACCTTCCACCGGAGAGGGGGAGAGAGATTGTAACCACACGACGATTGGCCACTGCGCGAATCGATCGACACACAATTTTCTCCTGCAACATATTTATACACAGCTATAAAGTATATAAATACATCCCATCCGCTGCCGTAATTTACTTGTCACTCGTGACTGCTTATAATAAGTACATCAACAACAATGCACTCTTATCATTTCTCGTACACGATATAATTCGAGCACCTCCTCTTTCGTACAAGTGCGCGTCATTGTTGTTATTATTCAGATGCATCGGAGATTTTCTTATCCATATACACCCGTCAAAGCAGGAATAATCATAATAATAATTGTGGTGATGATGATAATTAACTTTGTAATTAATTGCACCGAAATCGATGATAAGCTGCATTGTCGATTATGTTTTCGCGCTTTCTCGCGATAAAAAGCATTATTCTCTGTAACGATGGGCAAAGCAATTTTTTAATTTTTTTATTTTCGTGAGTAGAAACAAGAAAATAGAGGTAATCACGGAAAGAAAAGCAAGGAACGCACGTGTGCTTCGAGAAGCAATTTCAGTTAATGTCGAGAGGCAATACGTACACCTGTATAAAAAAAAAACAAAAGTCCCAACATCCGAATATCTGTGTACTCGAGTGCGTTAGCTGTAGGAAGCGCATGTGCGGGAGTCATTACAGGAAAGGAAGAAAAAGGAGCACAGCGAAGAGTAGAAAAAAAAAAAAAAAAAAAAGGTAGGACGAGACGCTCGGGCAAATTACAACGGGCACCGGTTGAGCTTTCGCCCGCCGCTGCTGGAGTATCGATCAAATAGATACGCGTGCCGTTCTTCCGTTAGGACGACGAGCTTCCTCCTTTCGGGGTTTCACGAACTTTGTTTCATCATCGGCGAGAGGGACGTGTACGAAAAAACACAAGCAAAGAAAAAAAAAACCAACAACGCAGATCAATACCCTCTCTCTCCCCAAGCGCGCAGTAAAAAATAAAAAAAAGTGCTTTTTCCCTTCTTTCGCGAGTCGGATGGTAAGAAAGTGTATATACACACCGCGTGGCTCGGGAGGAAGCTTTTTCCCCCCTCCCTCCTATCCCGCGTACCGAAAAAAAAAAAAAAAAAAAAACAGTATAGGTACAGCAGCGCGTGTAACAATATACGCGAGCTGCTTTATTTCGCTATAGCGCGTTTTTTTTTTTTTTTTTTTTTTTTTCTCGTTGTTTCATTGTCGCCTGTATAATGATGGTGCGCGCGTAGCGGTCAGGAAGCTCAGTATCGAATTTATCAAAACACAAGGCAACAGCGGAAAGCTCGATGGAGATAAGCTAATGAAGCGCGAGCGCGCGTGTACACAAACGATGAGTTTTTACTTCTTCGTGTATATTTCGACCGATCGACTAACATTAGATACTTTAATTATTTGGACGAATCCCTACTCCTGACGGCACCTCGTGCATATATATATACATTTCGATTTCGAGGGGCAAACGTGAAACTCCCCGTAAATAACCATATATACACAACGAAACTCGATCGGTCACTTTGGAGATATTGGACGCTACGAGGATTTAAACTGGATTTTCTTTTGCGAGTCATTGGAGAGCACGTATACATAAATATATAGCCTACGACATCGCAGGAAAGTTAGAAATTTCCAGCAGTTATGCTACGCCGGTTTTCTCATTGGCTGAAAAAGAATAATACACGGAATAGGGAATCGATGTAGTTGTTGTAACGAGATTCCACGGTCTCGAGAACCGGGAACTTGGACGAAGAAGATACGGATGTATACAACCTACATAGGCGCGAAGCAAAAAAGTACGGGCAATGAAAAGCATGAGGTGGGTTTATTAGTACACGTATATATATATAGGTATACAGGGGGACGGGGGAGAAGAGAGAGAAGCGCGTATATTAATCACGACGAAGGAGGTGTGGTGGAGGCGAGCGAGGGCCAGCGCTTTTGACTGCGCGTACATTGTGCTGGTGGAAGAGAGATCCGGCGCTCGCGTGCGTGGGCGGTGTATTATATACATAGGTGACTATACGTAGTAACCGTGTGCAATTGTGTATATGGGCAAGAGAGCCAACACACACTCGGAGAGAGAGTGAGACTCGTGCACTGATATCATAAATGCTCGTCTCTCGCTTTATTGATCACACTCGCGGCACGATGTGTTCGAGACACGCGGACGAGATGCACGCTGCACGATTTTTTTTTTTTTTTTTTTTCCCACTCGTACAACTTACGTTTGGTTGTGTTACAACCGTTGTAACGCTTTTTTACACGTTGATCACGCAAATTCGGCATTGTTGATTCGTACGAGAAATTATCATTTTAGAAGCTAATGTGGTAAGCTTCCCTAGAATATTAAAATAGAATATAGTTTAGGGAAATAAAAATGGTAAACGTACAGTAATTCATTCGTAATGGCTGAATTATGCACGGAAAGTATGATGTACGCTCGTGCGTAAGTACGACAATGATAAACACTTTTACCAGGCTTGGGTGTTTGTTTACATTTGGGTAATGTATTTTGATCCATACAGGTATTTGTAGACACACGCAAGGACCTTATACTACGGTGTACACGGGGCACGTTAACGCACATTACATCGAATTGCGCACGAGAGTGAGAAAACCAGTGAGAAGGGAGGAGAGGTGGGCCTACAAAAAAAATGTGCGCAATCATTGCTTGTGTAAACACATACACGTACAATCGACATTTATTCGCATTCGGCATTTATTGTAGTTATTAATGTTTTGTCGCCTCTAACGGAAAGGCATAACGATTTTAATTTTGTTGAAAATCACACTTTTTTTCGTTAAATTTTCTTTTACGTATAAATGAAAAAATGAAAAAAATAAAAAAAATCAAGTGTGTAGGTACATTTGGCGAATTCGAGCAGCAGCGATACCAAGAGATTAGGAAATTGGAGATTTTACACTTGTACACAGGCAGAGACGACGAAGGAGGCCATCATCGCGAACTGTGAAGCGCACTTCTCTCGTCGACGACGACGGGGCTGCTGTGCCGAGCAATTAAGTTTAACGAAGCGGCGGCCTTGCGACTGAGCTTAATTAGCGGCGCGCCAATAACCTGCACGTCGACAACCGCGTAGGGCAATTTTTTGCAAATCACGACCCACGACGCGCTACATCCAAATAACTACAAACCCTCCCTGGATTTTCGCCGGTCAAGATTGTAACACCACGATCAAACACACAATACACGTATAAATATTTCATTTAGGTAGATGTAAATGTACGTTACTTTTATCACTTACCAGGAAGAAATTGGAGTACTCGGAGCTGTCGTGTCTGTGCTTGCGCGAGTACAAGTGTGCGAATTTCGAAGCCAAGTACTGTATATATATATGTATTATATGTACAGCGATTTAGTGCACTGTTTCCGCCTGTCACTCAGTCGACGACCGAACACTGGATGATCGCGAGTGGGGGTATACGATTTTTAAATTAATATTAGCACTTGTTCTTGCACTTGTGTAACGACATCGTCGGGACGATGCATCCGTCAACAGAGTCAGGGCTGCACTTTTTTCTTTTTTTCAATAACAATACAACAATACACACTTAAATGCAGCTCTGCGAATCTCGGCTACGTTAATTGGTAGAGAGAGGAAAAAAGCCGCGTTCAGTTGTCGAGACTATAGACGCGGTGTACTTGTTCATGCGAGATGCAGGCGTGGGTACCTATATGTATTGCGAATTTCACTGTCTGTCTCCATTAGAGCCGGGGATGATGATGAGTCAATTCTCGTGCCCCTCTCCCCCGTTTGTGATGATAAAAATACAGAGTTTGGTATACTTGAAGAACAAGTAGGTACACAGGCCGGCTTATATATTGTAACGGGCTCTCTCGCAAAATATTTTATTACACCATTGGGTGCCCTCTCTTTCCTCAATGCGCACTCGTCGACTCGCGATCTGCCTTTACTGCTCACGAATCGGAGTTTTAGCAGACGCACCTTTCCCTCTCCGTGCGCCCTCTCTCTCTCGCGCGCGCCTTCTTGCAGCGGCACACAATCACATCAGCAGCAACTCTCCAACTCGAGCCGCCGTACTTGCCGCCGCCGCCGCCGCCGTCGCACTTGCTTCCCCTCCCCCAACCCGGTTGCTCGCTCGCGATCTAGCGCTGTCTCTTTTTAAACCTGGAGAGAAACGTGCAGCAAAAGCATCATCATCAGTTCCTTCTAGCTTCTCTCTCTTTCATCCCCCGCCCCCTCGAGCTGACACTTGCGCTTTTCTCTCCTCCCTCCCACCCCATGTGCCTTCGGTAATAGAGCATTATCACCAAAAGGGCCGGTCATCCCTCGGGAGCGCCGAATGTTTTTTCTCAACCTTCGAAAAAATCTAAGTAGGGGAGGGGGGGGGGATCATTCGACGTGCGGTTTTTCAAAGGCTTCGCGAAGTAATTAAATTTAAAGATTGATTACGCGTGGTATGAAAAATTTGGCTGCAATTTGGATGTATTTTTAGCCAAGCCGCAGAGGCGATCATTAAAAAGTTCATTTAAATAAATGAAACGCGCACGAAGCCCGGTGACGCATGTACGAGGAAAAATTTTTTCACGCCCGATTCGGGTGTTGGAGAAAAAATTAACGCTGCGAATGTGCGTTGGAACGCTTTTATGTCGCCGCGACGGGAATCTCTTTCGCTCTGCAGCGAGTAGTTTTTTTTTCTTTCAACGTTAATTGAAATGCTATTTTCTTACTGTTGTCCTCATAGTGTACGTGACAGGTAATTGTTTTTTTTGTTGTTCTTGTCGAGTAATTGTTTTCGACCGAGTTGAGCTCGTCTTTAAATATACGTCTGCATTATGCACTCTGATAGTTACGTTGTGATAACAATATATACGTTGATAAGCTAGGCTATCGATATCTTACAAATGGAACGAAAATAATAACTTGTAAGCAGTTAATTATTAATTGTTGTTTGAAAAAAAGTATTAAAGGTTCTATGTGAAATAAATAATTATTGATTTGGTCAGTGATCGGTGCACACTGAAACGTTATTGATTCATTCTACAGATTTCTATCATACGAACGTCACATTTTGCTATCAGTAACTGGTGCACCCCCCGCGAGATGGCGTTTATTTATCGAGGGATGAAATTCCCCGGCGGGAAGTTTAATTTTGTACACGATTACTTCATATTCATAACAATTATCAAAAGAAAGAAATGAACTAAAATTAACACTATCAATAGTATAATGAAAAAGCATTGATCACGATTTTATCGCCTAACGCCTCGTTGTATCATTCCAATCGAAGCCTTTATTGTTACAAGCTACAGAGCATGACACGCATTCTTTTACATCACACCGACCGAGCGTCACGACGCTCGAGTACTTGTTCAAATATATTAAATTTTTAAACTCTGAAGCAACGAGAGCTTAAAAATTGTCCATCCGAAGTATAGCTGGCCATTTACTACATCGACCGATTGTAGCTTAATTGAAAGGAGAGGATCGAAAAAAAAAAAAAAAAAAGCGCGCGTCTGGTGTAGAAGGTAATGAAAGCTCAGAAGCTGTGATTATGTAGGTGGGCAACCGAGCTACCGTCAGTCCCTTACTGCATGCCAGCAACGCAGCAGAGAGGAGGGAGGGGTCAGGTCGGCGCGGGGCGTGCTCCAAAGCGTTGCTGCAACAGAACAGATTGGGCTAAAAGAACGAGAGAGAAAAAAAAGGGGTATAGGTAGATTGGCAGGAAGTATACAACACGTGTGCTTCCTTATCTCGGGGGGGGGGGGGTCAGACAGGCGGCCCTGATGCATACATGTGCTTGCTCGTCTCGTGTATAGGTGCCCTCACACATGTGTATGATACACGCAATATATTAAGGCAATCGATAGACCCCCGCGCGTCGGTTGGCTTGTCGCTCAACGATACCGAGCAGCGGTGACGACGGTGGCAACGACGGCGGCGCGAGATCACCCCCCTACGAAGCCGAACCACCCCTCCGCCGAGCCGCGACAACAGCAGCGCGAGTATACTTGCGGAGTAACGCGCAACTAATATTTTTACACCCCCTCGGCTCAGTTTTCGCGTTTCCCTCCTCCTGTTGAGCAGCAGCACCGCTGCTGCTGCTGCAATTGTTGGTATCAATATTAAATTGGTACTGTCCGTGTCTGCCAGTGCGTCGTTCGCTGGCTAGTGATTATCGTTGTACATATATACACAAGTACCAAATTTGCCATAATCGAATAACAAGCCGAATTTCAGTCCCCGGGAAGGGCAGCTAGAAGGGCAGTCCCCGGGTCTCGCGCGGTGTATCGATAAAAAGTGTAGGTAGGTACAAGCACATAAGTATATAGGTGTACTTATAAGTTTATACACGCAAGTCGGGATTGTCGGGAATGCCAGTGTCGTGAGTCGTCGTGAGTGTCATTGCTGCTGACGTGGGAGTTTTTGTTCCTGCAACAGCTCGGGTCTTTCGACGTCCCGGAGGAACAGGCTATCGGATCGCAAGGGTAAGTAAGCACTGCTGGGGGTCATCATTGCGCGAGCGCGTAGCGTTGCTCTACTCCTGGTGTCTCCTCGTCCTGCTGCTCTGTGCTCTCTCTCTCTCTCTCAGTGTGGTGTACAAGTATATACTTATTATTATACGCGTGCAGTGTGGGTGGTGTAATAATAACGAAAGTGCCCTGCAGCTGCTCATCCGTGGTGTGCTATATACGTGTAGGTGGATTGTTTTACTTATCAGAGCAGCAGCTGAGCTCGACCGGGCGCGACCTACAGCCCTACATTCATGGCCTGCACCATCCTACAATAACATGGCTAATCCACGGAAAACCGTACCTAACCTCAACCACTCGCGATCCAAGAGCTCCAACTCCTCTCCCCCGCACCTGCCCTGTAGTCCTTGTAATCACAGCGTTTTCGAGCTACTACCCTCAGAGCACTTTTCTCTCTTTCTAGACCACACTAATAGGGAAAGAGAGAGAGAGAGAGAGAGAGAGAGAGAAGTGCTTTCAGTAAAATACGCAAGTACTCTATAAAACAGCCGTTCGGAAACCGTATCGTTACTTGACTCTTGCCTGGGGGAGGGCTCGAGTTTGTTTCCTAACCAACACTATAGATTTCCCAGGCACCTCTCGTTTTCATAAATTATTATCATATACAAGTGCCAAGAACAGCTCACTCAAGGGGATTTAAGCCATCCCTCACCCCCTTCTCCCTGTTTAAGTCTCACACCCTTAGTATTATTGAAACACGTTTATTCGTGTGGTGTTTTAAAAGTACCTACAGCCTAATAAAATATCGATTAACGACCAATATCGAGCACGTGCCCCATACTTACTCTGCAATATAGGTTTCGGAAAACGACCTGCGTGGCATCTTAGCAACATACTTTTTTACTCTTGTCAATCTGCAGTCATTACACATCCAAACGCAATATTGATTTCGGTGTGTCGAAGACGTACTCGTGATGTTTTCAACATAATGAGCTCCCGTAGCCATAAATACTTGATTGCTTTCTCATTTCGGAGCTACGTCCGTATACGTGTGTGCGCGTGCGTGTGGATTCTGGGCAGACTGGCCATCAGGGTGAAGAGCAAGCGAGCGGGATAACGTTTCATAAATAGAGGCAAAATGTATACAGGAGAGAGAGAGAGAGCTTACGGATGACTGACGATTGCGGGGTGGTGGTGGTGTGAGCTCCTCTCCTTGAAATCTGTCACTTAATTAACGATAATCGATCGGCTGTTCAAGAAAGAAACGGAGGGAGACAAGAGCCCACTGACCCGTTTCTCTCTTGTGTGTATACACAAAGCGCGACGACCGTGCCAACGATGCTCTCGGAGATGGGAAAAAACCACACTATATACACGATGTAGTCTCGATCGAGTACACCTCTAAAGGTGGAGCGATTGCTGTGCGACAACGATACACGCGTGGCTGTTAACTTTTCTTTTGTGTATAGTATAGTCTGTTTTTCCCTTGATTTCCTGACGTATCTGCTTTTGATAATGTGATGCGATGAATTAGTTGCCTAATTGATAGGATTTGTTTGTTTTTGTTTTTTGATTGCAGGACAAACGCCAACAACAACAACAATAACAAAAGGAAATCAACGAGAAAGACGACAGCAGGTGCGAGGTAGCCGAGCCATATACATTAACGAGGCACGGTGGTCGCGTCGCTAGTGGTGTTTCGCTACCAGGAGGAGGCTATCGTGCGGGGCCCGGGGATCTTGCCCGGATGTGGTGATGTGGTCGAGTCCCGCGGAGGGGGACCCGGGTCCTCGCGGCAAATCGTGAGGAGAGGCCCTAGGCAGGTATTATTTAAGTGACAATCATCTCACCTCGACGGCATTCGTCGTTGAACAAGTTGTACTGCACCTGAGACAAGTAAACGACTTCAAAAATCCAAAATATTTTTTCAAGAATAGAATAGTGGTAGACCCTGTCGAATGGTTCTCATCCTGGTTCTCCAAAGTTTGTTCATCTATGTATATTGAGCAATTTATTCATTTACTTTATTAAATAAATATGTAGTCCAAGTTGATATTCCTACCACGGGGTGCACCATCGAGTCTAATCCGAGTTCGCGTGGGTAAATGCAGATGGGTAGTGATTTAAAAAGTTGTGGATATATTAGCGTACACGCCGTACATGGCATAATTATGTAGTATTCGTAATTTGTATGCGAAGAAAAGAAAACGATGATAAATGAGTAGTTTATATTAATGTGTTTGCTTGTGGGACCATACCTGGCGACCTAATACACTAGTTTTGAATTAAATTATTTTTATTTGCTTAACTAAATTTTTTCACGGTCATCCAATTGGGAATGAAAAAAATCGAATTTATTAAGAATAAATCAGCCGTTCGTACATGTGCGCATGTATAAGGTAAATTTCATAGTAATTTAGGTAAATTGTTAATGGTATCGCAAAAAACCAGTAACTTATGAGGATGATTAAACAAATGACTGTTACTATATAGGTACTAGTGAGAGAGGGGTGATTGACCAACATGGCAAAAGTTCTATCCCATCCTCCTCGAACTAACAAAAAAATGTGTCCAGTGAGTAATTTGCCATCAAGTCCTTTCACAACGTATGTATATGTCCGTGCATCTAATAACTTTGGTATGTATGGACAAATAAACGTATCGTATCATAATATATACGATTTTTCCGATCAAATAAGCGCTATTTTCTGATGTACGTAAAAAGTCGTGGATATCGGTCCTAAAGCTCAATTTGGGGCCCTATCCTTCTTAACTATGTTGGGAGCGTTACCTGATTGGTCAAAATTAACTGCCGATCGAGATCAGACTCTTGGAAATTCGAACAAAATACTCTCATCTCATTACTCGTTTAAGTCCATCGCTACTTCGAACTGTACGTCAACAATACCCTGGACTTTAAAAGCATGCACTTGTGCTCTGTGACGTGGTTCGTGAGCTTTTAAGCAGCTCTCCGTTTCTGATGCTTCGAGCCGCTGAAACTTGGTGCTACTTCGTTACATTTGGTGTGACAGTATAGGGCCGCAATTACAACTTGTATTACTAGAAAAGCCTAGAACTAAATATTTTTTTGAAGATGACGTCCTTGAAAACGTTAATTTAACAAATCATTTTAAAAAAGTATTTAATTTAATGAATAAAGTAATTATTTGTTGTAAATATGACAAAAAAAATGTTTTTTTTTTTTACTTCAAATTAATGTTTAATTTGTATTGATTAAAACAAGTTATTGAAAAATCGATGTAAAAGTACAAAATAATTGAAACTCGATCAGAGAAGCAAGATTGATTCGATAAAAATCAAACTTTATGAAAACTTGAAAAATCATTCCTACACCGGAACTTATACCTCATGAGCTACGGTTGAGTTGTCCAGCTCTGAGCCGAGTTTCAGGTAATTTTTTCGGAACATCTTTAAATTTTCTCGTCAATGCATCATCTAGTAAACCAAAGAGACACTTTGATGGTCATAAGGTCGTGGTACATATTCATTTTTCATAGTAAGGACGGCTTCATACTTTCTTGGCGTATGTTGATGGGTTGAGGTCTGTGCGATACCTACCTCGAGACCAGACTCTATAAAAAATATATGTATATCGGTCCAAACTTTGGACACACTCGAGACACACCTGCCAAAGTTTCGTTTCGCCTCGAAGTGTCGAAGAAATTTTTCGGGGATTCAGTAGACAAAAAAAAAAAGTTGGAATTTTCCTCGGATTGACATTGATTGTATTATTTGATTTAAACGTCATCCCATAAACTTTGTACAACAAAACCTCGGTCACACGATGAAAAAAGGTTTGTTAACGTCTAAAAATCCGGCAGGCTGGCCCGAGGTCCAGAGCTTCTCTCCGAAGACGAGGAGGAGGCCAGGGAATGGTGCAGTGAGCCGCCGCTCTTCTTCGACTCCGAGGAAGAGGAGCAGCAGTCGTCACGGCGCCCGATGTCGCGGCAGCACCAACGCGACGAGCAACAGTACCTCGTCGAGCACCCGCGCGAGGCCTTGCTCCGGGGTGAGAGCCGCGACCACCACCACCACCACTACAACCGGGACCTCGAGCTGGTAGGCAGCGGCCGGGATTACCGGGACCTCGAGCCACCGCCGCCCCGCCGACCGGCCGCTCACCACCGCCACCGGCCCCTACCGAGGGACCCCGAGTACGACTACGACTACGAGCCACCCCGTCCCGCTGCCCGACGCTCCAGTCCCACCTCGGGACACCAGAGCGCCGTCTCGGCCGCCGCCGCCGCTGCCTCGTCCTCCATCACCAACAACCAGGTCGGTGCCCACACCAGCATATTATTATACTTACTCGCAATTATATTGATACACAACACCTCGAACCAGCCAATCGCCAATCGAAACTTCACGCGAAGCCCCGATCCCACACTGCAACAAACAACACCTCCGTACATACTAATATACATGCTGTTGTTGTACCTGTGCTAAATCTATTATACATGGGGTGTGTGTGGTATGGCGTTCCCTCCTCTCGGAAATTGGATTTTGCGTATTCATTAGACCCAGGATTGAAGGAAAAGGCCAAGTCCCCGCCTTGGTTTCGTTTCTCCCCCCACTGGCGATTAAAACTTTTTTCCGATCCAAAACCCATCCCTGAGACACGAGATAATCAAACAAGGTTTCTCGGGGGGGAGGGTCGAGTGAAGTATCCCGAAAAACAAAGAAAAATCGATCCATAATCGGCGCGCGATGTTATGCACCAAACCTTCATATATAATCGCACCGGTGCGCCCGTACTCGTGCAGTACCTGTAACCATATATATCATAAAGGTACGAACCTACGACTGGTTTGGCGATCCCTCCGGGTCGTCTTGATCGGTGAAACCCGGTTCCGCCAAATATAGGTCAGTATACTATATCAAGCTCCCACGAGCGGAGACTCGGCCAGTGGTGCTGTTTTCTCGGTGCCTGAACGGCACATATATATACTTACACGTATGCATACAGGTATACAACATCAGCCTCTATCATTCGAAGGGCCCTTTGCCAGCAGGGATGCATATACACAAGAGTACTCACACACACACACACACCCTCGCTAACGGCAAAACGAGTTTGCAGCTCGTGTGTGTTGGGCACATATATATACATATACCTACACACCCTCGCGCTCCTCCTTCGCTAAAAAGGCACATCTCCTTCCAAGCTGTACGTAGGTTACGTGCGAGTCGGCGAATCGATGAGCGAACGTCGCCTTCGTTATTCCCTTTTTTTTTCCCCCCTTTCCGCCCCGGCATCCAGGCCGAGACCAGCCCGATATATATATATATTCTCTTCTTCCTTCCCTTGGTGCCCTATCCCGTGTTTCCCCCCCCCCCTCTTTTTGAAGGTCCTCGGAGCAAAGGAATGTCTGTCTATATATACGACCGCTCTTCTCTCGCCCCCCAACCCTTTCTTGCCTTTTTCATTCCACGGCAAAGCTATATTACACGAGACAATGTTTCAAGAGTATCGGTGGAGTATACGCATCATCGCAGCATTTATAAGCGCGGATTTCTCGTTCAGCCGAGAAAATCGATGCTCACGTAGATGGGTTGCAGTGTATCGAGGTCCTTCCATCGTATACAAGAGTTTTTATTCTTGTACTCTGCAGCACCAGCGCTTTTCCTTCATCTCTCTTTCTCTCTGTCTCTTCGCGTTCAATCGCAGGCCACTCGAACACGTGCCGCTTTTCCAGTTCTCTTGAAACAAAAAAAAATAAACTTCTTTTATTTCATCCATCCGTTTTTTCTCTGTTTTTACGCCTAAACGTTTAGGCTCCCTTGCGTTATTCCCTTACTGTTGTTGTCTAACAACATGAATAAATAATTATCTTTCTCTTGTAAAAAAAAAAAAAAAAAAAAACACAATCCAACGACCGACTTGACTGATACGTGTGCTTGGTGATCAATGATAACCATTGGATGAATCGCGAGTTAAAAGATAATCGTCCCGAATGAACTTTGTTATTCCGGCAGAGGTTTAACCATATAGGTATAACTACTGGTGTTGATGTGAGATCAAACGCGAGATCCGCGACACTTGTGTAAACGATGTATACAGCGAGGGGAGGATAAAATAATGGAAAAACAGTTCCAACAAAGCGACGATACGAGCGACCAAGTTTATAGCGCCTGCGGAGGAGGGATACATCCACGCAACAAAGTCACAGCATCGCGAGACACAACGGTGGCCGTTTGCGTAAGAATGTTAAGTATAGGTTTACACTTTGGATTTTCGGTTTTATAACACATTATACACCTCGGGGGATGACTCCGGGAACTCTCGATTATTACCGCACTGCTGTTATTATTCGGGTGCGAGTAAAGAAAAAAAAAAAAAAAAAAAAAAATGAAGACATTTACGCTCGTAACGAGGTGTACTTATACAAGAGGGGCGGATGGGGGCTCTATAGCCCTCGGGAAAGCGCATCAGCTGCTCGGCGGTCGAGAGGCTCGTCGGTGGTGGTATAGGGGCGAGCGATTCGGCTCGATATAGGGAGAGGGAGGGAGGGGGAAAAAAAAAAGAGAAATAAGAGTAGCGCGCGTCGACGAGCCTGACCTTGGCCGGCGGCCGCAATCTCAATGAAGTTGATTTTCTTTGGGGCGGCAAGTGCACGAGCCACCTATACGTGTACATGTATACACACACAAGAGCTTATTTGAAGCCTGATTGGTCGATTCAGTGGCTAATTCTTGTGTATATATGTATACGTGTTTTATTTTTTCCTGTTTGACGCCCCGATTCTTTCAAAGTCAAGGGTTGGAGTCGCGGTGTTGTACGTAGGCGCGTTGGGAGGGGCGAGACCAAAGATGGCCAATATCGAAAGTAGGGGGGGGGAAGGGGTGAGTTGGTTTTGGCGCGAGTTCCGTGACATAATTTTTATCGATTCGGTCGAAATTCTCCCGCTCGCCGCGAGTCGAGGAATAATATGGAACGGGTCGCGCTGGCCGAGTTTTTGTGGGGCGGCGCGCGAGCGCTTCAGGGTCGCCAGGCGAGGGGTGGGGGTAGGGAGCTACAGAGGGAGCGGAGAGAGCCAGACTGAATAATTTTTCGGCCAATATAAAGGTGGTCCTAATGAGCGAGCCTCGGGATTACTTGATGGTGCGTGTATGTCATGTATAAATAAATGCACGCATGCTTGCACACACACGCACGTGTAGTATACACATGGTAAAACGTAAGGCAGGCGGATAAGCGAGTTATACGAGCGTATACACGGGGGGAGTGTGGGTATGGCGCAGTGATGAGGCGAGCGACTATAATATCCATGCCAACTGGCAGGTATGTGGTTTGCTTGCTTGCGTGGAACTTTTTTTTTTTTTATTCCTTAGTCCAACTTTCGATAAAAATATACCCTCTCACGGGGAGGGAGGGAAAAAGAGAGAATGTAGGCTTTTTATAGCCTCATTCGCGTTTACGACCCGAACAGGATTTCTCCCTCCCTTTCCTCTATTCGTATCGTATTTGTCACTCGTGCGCGTATACATTCACGCACATAAACGTGTATTGTGCGTGTATATGTATGTGCCGAATTACTTGGCTTGTAAAATAAAAATATTCATACACGTTGAAGAGAAACAAAAAATCTGTGCTGGCTTATTAAAAATTTTTTCGGACTTCCATTTGCACGTCCATCATCTTGTACGTGAGTACAGTGGTGCATTATTGTTTTTTGCCATCTAAAAATCACGCATTATTTTATCAACGTTATCTCTGCCGATCCACGGAAAAACAGCACAATGACATTTTTTATATGAAATTGAGATATTTATACTTCATTTCAATAATTAATATATGGAAGATAATATCTATCGAAGATTATATTATAATGTGTGGAAGCAACCACCGTGAGCGCCCTTCTTCGGAGTCAAGTCGACGAGTTTATCCTTGGGTTCCACACTTGAAAAAAAAAAAAAAAATCAGTACGACAGTTTGCACCTACGATAGCATACGTAAATGCAATCACCCCTTTTTTTCTACACGGGAAATTGTACGAGTGAAAAGCCGTAAATGCAGCTCATCCTCTTTTTCCCTTCAAAAGATTGATTTTTCCTCGCAATGATAACATCATACCTTTAACAATATCGTATACACATTATTTTTTTTTTTACGCTTAAAAATTCAATTTTCATAAATTTCGTCGACACAAATACATTTCGTTAATTTTCTCTCGATTCGACACCGACTGCGCTCACGGTTTTTTCCCCCCTGGGACGGCAACCCTGTCAATCATCTCTCGAACGACAGCAATCAAACACAGGTAGACACACGCATCAGGTAAACTCGCTTTTACTTAACACCATACACTTGTGCATATCATAAGCCGAAACTCGAAAACCAAAGAGCATCAGAGGAGCCATTCGAGAAAAAGGAGGAGGATTTACTGTATACTCCTCGGCTATATTTTTAAGCTGTACACGTATACAAGTGAACGAGTCTTAAATGTGCGGCAGACTAGACGTCCAATGAGATTAGGAAGAGGGGATGAGGAGGAGGATAAAGAGCGAGGTAAAAAGCAAAGAAAAGGAGCCCCACGACGGCAGAGGTCCTGACTGCATGGTGGTTGTACTCCCCGGTATTAGGTTTCAGGATGACACATGCAGTTAACGTTTTTGGAGGGACATGCTAGCTCGTAAAACGCGCCCATCGACTATTATACATACATACATAGGTGCACACGTGAAAAAGGGGGATGTACGTGTGCGCCACTTCGAAGCCTGCAGTGATAGAGTGCATTCCCTCTCTCTCTCTCTCTCTCTCGAAATCACTGTGTGTATCTGTCTACTTTTCTCTTTCGAAACCCCGTGTATACTTACACATCCAACATGAAGTACCTTTCATCGAGCCGGAGGATTAAATTGAAGCTCCTCTTGAAAACGGATTGCTTTCGTGCCCCTTTGGTGAATTACTATACATTCGTTGGACGGGCCAAATTGTTATTGGAAATTTTTCGTGAAATAATTGCTCTTTGGAGTTCATTGTTTTCCACTCGTTGGCTGTTATCAACACACGCTACAGCACTGTTGTAATTTACAATTTGGATTGAAAACTAAAGGCGTATAAATGTGTATTGTGCGATGTATCGATTATGACATGCCTTTTATTGAATTAAATTTTTTAACAAAACTTCATTTCATAACTTTTGATTTATTTAAAAGCATGTATCAATTGTAGTGATTAATCGACTTGTATTTTTATACTCGTCGAGACACGTGGTTATATATAACAATGTTTTTTAAATAATGTCTAAAAATAAAAAATTCAATACTGCCGT